TAGAGTTGAAGTTGGAGTCAGAGTTATAGTAGGAGCTACACGACTTTTAAGATGAACACGTTTGCCAGCGTGTCGCATTACAATTTCTAATGACATGGCTGCTTGTTGGGAACAAAGCTGTCAAACTTGCTGGCTAAAAGATTGCTTCCCATTCAAGAATCATGCTTAACTAGCAGACTGCAAGCAATATGCTTAAAGATTACTAAATAAATAGACCACAAATTTTCAGACTGTACTCAGAAAGCTATCATATTTCAGCTTATTTTTGCCAGAGATGAAGTTTTTGGCAATATGGTGGAATATATTAAAGATAAGGATAAAAGAGACACTAGATACAGGCTAATAGCATTCAAGTTTATCCTTTGCTTTCTGTGAAAATAATAATAATAACTATCTAAGTATCGAACTTTGAATATAAAAAGCTATTCAGCTTGCAGCTTAAGCCTCTGCTCCACAGCTGGAAATATGGGCTGAATAAATAATTGAGCTATTCAATATTGCAGGAAGCTCGGATTGCTGCTCATAGCTCGAGCTTATGCATATTTTTTATGTCAGCCAGTTCTTAAAATTGAACAGGTTTATTTCGCTTTTCTAACTGCACGTTCCACACGTCTCTTCCTTGAGCAGCAACTGTCTGTTATTGAGCTCTGCAACCAGCTTTGCCTGTCCCTTGAGCGATCTTCAACTGTTTGGCCACTCCTGCGGGCATATCAATGGCACATAATTACGCTTATTATCAACCATTCAACACCTACTCAAAATGCTCACGAAAAATCTTCAGCTAGCAGCCAACCAGCCAGAGAGCCAGTCATGACTCGGCCATGTTGTTGCCTCACATAAATTTCTTGGCTCCTGCCAGCTCTTGTCTCTTGTTATAGCAGCTGACAGCCCGTTCGACTCGTTCGCAGTAGCCTGCGAAAATTGCTGTAGCCAAATTTATGAATATATACATATATTCCACGCTTAACGGCATAAACTGCAGCTCAGCAACAGCTGGAGCCAGGTTCAAAAGGTTTTTGGGTTAGCGATAGACTGGAAATTGCTTTGGCCAGTAGCTGGGAGGTGTTAGCTGGCTATCTAATGCACTCACCGACAGCTTAACTCTCAACTGTGCGCAGCTTAAATAAGAAACGAGTGAAAGTCCGCTGTCCAAAAACGGATAAACTTTCCCAGATAACAAACACAAAATATAGTAAGTCATAAAGCACTGCATGAGCAGGTCCACAGTTCGAACTGTGCATAGATAAAGCGAGCCTTTGAATAGAAAATATATATTACTAAGAAAAAGATAAAAGATTTTAACTTTGAATATAGCAACCGATCTCTTCTAATTTAGAAGCCAGTTCAGTTAAAAATTTATTTTCCACTTTTTATATTTCCAGATTGTTTTGTTAAAATGTGAAAATGAATATAGCAAAGCAAAGGAAACCATGCTTGTAGAGTAATCTAATTGATAAAGGGAGTTCAGAGTATAATATTTCTGTTATAATAAATTTATATTACAGCCAGAAGAAGGAGTGGCCAACAATTTAAAGTCTCGCTATTCTTGATTAGGGTCAAAAGCCGAGTCTGCCTAGTGTAGATAGCCTATCTTAATATTAGAGTTAGATTACAATGAGACTCGAATTGAAGTAAAAGATAAATTAATTCACAGAGATCTTTCTTTCTCGTAGCTTTTGGTATATTTCTGTTGCATCTGTGGCCTGTCAATCTTTATGCTTGTAAGACAAATAAGCCCAGAGATATTTGAAGCGACTGCAGCCCAGCCAAGGGCCAAGCAGAGAAGAAACCACTTCTAACCATAAACAGCGTTGGCAACAAATCGCAAATATGTTGAGGCCATAATAAAAGCGAAAGAGTTGTACTTGCCCGCTGCTCAAATAAGGTAACTGGCAATAACCCAAAATGGTCAGGCTCCAGGTCCCAAGTACCAGGTTCCGGGTCCCAGGTCCCTAGCCCCGAACGCCTGGCCCCGGAACATATCCTGCCACGCACTTGGTGGCTGGCTCTTAGAAGCAGCAACTGCTGCTGTTGCCGGCATGACAAATGCAACTCGAGTGTCGCATTGTGTTGCAACAAAAGCAACAACAGGCGGCAAAGCAATGCAACGCAAATGCAACTAATGGGCAGCCAGAGGAGGCCCCCAAAGAGTGGGAGATCGGGGGAACTCTTTCATATTTATACAAGCAAATGCCGTCAACGACGCGCTTTATAGTTGGCTCCCCTCTCAGTAACTGGTCTGCAGCAACTGCTGCGTGGGCCGTGCCACACAGGTGAATGCCATCAGGAACAGCAGTCAGGCTATTATGAGCCACACATACACACACTGTCACAAGCTCTTTCAAAGGTCAAAGACATTTGGCAGCGCACAACAAATTGAAATCCGCGCACTGCTACAAATCAAAAATGCGTAATAAAGACGCAAAATTCAATTTGCGCGCTATGCAAACAGAAACAGAAACAGAAACTGCAACAGAAATCGTGGCAACAGCATTCGACACCGCGACACCTGAAACTGGGGGATGCGAAGCTGTAGATACTCTGAATACATTTTGCCAGTTAACAAGCTCAGACGTTGCTTCAACCAGCTAGCCGAGCAGCGAGAGTTGCTTTAGAAGTTAGTTAGGCTGGTCTTTTGTTCTTTAGAAGACAGCGGAGTTTATATAGCTCTGATGCCAAACTATTTGCCACATATATGTAGAGTTTATATCTAACTGAAAGTTTGTATATACAAAAATCGTATTCCATATATTATATTTAAAATCACACTTTAGTATGAATTTCCATATACATTTCCCAGCTATCAAATCAAGGTTAGATTTTACATAGATCAGAGCTAGATAATAAAGGAAAGGATCATCAAAGGCATAATGATATGCTTGTTATCCATAGCTTAAGAAGCGTCTGAAATGTTGTCGAAAATAGTGTCACTCCCATTCGCTAACCATTTGCTACTCAATTATTTCAATACGTTTCGAGCAGCCCTTGCACACATGTCGCATCTATGTACACATTGTAGGAACTTGTAGCTTTTCACATATGCAGACAGACAATCGACATCCTTGCCGAAGCGTATGAAACTCGACAGACGTACGGCTTTGGCTTTTAACTTGACTGTTTTGGCAAACAGTGTGGAACATGGCCAAAACAGTTGGCGCAAAAGCGAGTCGCAACAATAAAATGCAAATAAAATTATACGAAAAGTAATTTGGGAGAAATTCTTCAGACGCCCGATGAAAGCATCCGAAACATCTCCGATTCTAGCCGGAGTCTTGGTGTATTTAATTTGCAGTAGTCGAGCCAAAAGGACCCAAAGCATCCAGGCAAAGGAGTCGGAGACGAGTCAATGTCAGACTCAACGTCAACGCAGCTGCCAACTTCATTTGTCTGCGTCGCGAATGGCTGCCGTTTTTTATGAGCTGTTTTAATACAATTGTTGCGCACAGTTTTTCTTTCATTTTTATTTCACTTAGCCTGCCTTATTAATGGCCAACAACAATAAGATACACTTGTGTCTTTTTGGCCCATGCTTTGTCGGCGCCCCCTGCTAAGCTTTATGAGCGCGACTTATTAAAAGTTTACCTCGGTCTCTCTTTTATTACTTTATTTGCCTTTTTAATCAGCGTTTGCAGTAATTGCAAAAAAGGGAAGTTGACTCAGAAATGGAAAAGCCATTTGCCTTGCTATATATAAAAGGCTATTGTAGTGTGTGTATGTGTGTGTTAGTAAGCAGCTTAGCCGTACTACATTAGCATATTTAAATTAAATACCTAATTGCAATTCTTTATTATATCAAAGGAAAATAAGTAAATTCTTGTAATTTTTTTTTAATTTTTTTTTTTAGATTAAACTTCAGTTTCAGTTCAGTTTTATTCAAAGCTCACCTAGAAAGAGAACTAAAAAGTTAAAATATTTATTTTTTATTTTATAAAATACATAAGTTGCATATTTTATAATCTACAACATTTATTTTCACATTTGAATTTATTTTGATATATGTTAACTTCAACTATTTTAGATTTTTTTAATATAATATTAAGATATACTTAATATTTATAAAACTAATTTAAAATATTTTATCAATTTTTTAAACATAATTTAAAACAAAATTTTAAAAATATTTCATTCCTCATCTACACTTGCTTTAAAACCAGAAAGTTTTGTTCTTATTAATTTGTTTTAAATTAAGTTCAATCAGTTTTCATTTTTAAGGTTAATTTAAATATTTTATAAATTTCGTATAAACATAATTTAAAACATATACTATTATTGAAACTACAAAAATTATTTAAAAATATTTCATTTCTCATCTGCACTTGATTCAAAACCAGAAACAAAACTTTCATTGATTTGTTTTAAATTAAGTTCAATTAGTTTTGATTTTTAAGGTTATTTTAAATGGTATTAAAAAGCTAATGAAATTTAATTGACTTCATGTAACTGCAAAAGTTTTATTTAATTGCACAAGTTCGTATTGAAATGACGTCGATGGCTAATCAAGAGAACAGGCTGAAGACTACTTAGCTACTTGCTACGCTGTTAACGAGCCCACGTATGTGGCAGATACAAAAGTATCTTCTCGCAATGACATGCATATTTATGGGCACGCTTCTCTTTTATTTCATTTCGCGCAATCGCATCGTAAAAATGCTGTTAAAATATTTACTGCAATTGCCAAGTTCTTCAGTTAAGGGAAGAAAGGGGTTCGTTTACCCATTTATCAACGTCCCAGGCAAATGTAAAAATCTTTTTATGTTGCAGTTTGCATAAATTGTTAAAGATAAGGCAATATGTAACTGGTAGATTCTGTGACCGCAGCTCATGCAAATCACGACGCAGACAAGCTGTAAATACTGTGTCGCGTGGGCGGCTGTCATAAAAACAACAAATAAAAAATTAAAGCCCATAAAGTTTATATTTAGAAGTGCATATATGAGCCTGTAGTGCCACATTTTTTAAGAACTTTATTAATGTACAAAAAAACTTTTCGCTCATTACAGACAAATCGCGCCCGCCTACGCGAAGGTCAATGGCGGCACAGCCATTCCTCTGCCTGCGACGGTCATGGTTCAGCGTCGCTGCCCGCCGGACAAGGTGCGCCCGCTGCCTCCCACACCGAATCATACGCCATGTAAGTGAAATAAATTTGCAACTGGTTTGGGAAATTTATTAAAAAATGCTCTTCAAACAAGAGAGAAACCAACCCCAGGGCTTGACCGGGCCAGCTTTTTCAGCGTGCTGCACTCCGTTGTTTACCAGAAACAAACACATTTTTTGGGTCCACGTCGTGGCAAACAACCCCCAGCGGGGCATAGCCATGCACTTAGCCTAACGGCTGGTCTTTCTGGCCGAGATTTGTCGCAAAAAGGGGTTTAACCATCTAGACATGGCTCGTGTCCCAATCCCCTTTGTTGCGCATCATCAAAGCACGCTGGGGAATATATTCGTGGGGCTTTGAGTGGGGCACGATCCATTCAAGCACCGCCTCATTGCAGTTGATTTGTTTGCAGCTTGAACAATCTGTAATTAATGCGTGCGGCTGCAATTTGAGGTTATAAATGGGCCCCACGTTGGGCGCCAGCTGTCCGTAGGGAATTGACCATTAAACGCACTTTAGCTGGAGTTGCAATCTAATCGAGAGCTGATCGCATAACAAGTTATTTGTTTCTTAGAAATAATCTTAATGATATGGAAAATATTTTGGGCTGAGGCAGTTTGAGACTTCTGCGCTCCATATTTATATGTTTAAGTAGTGTTAAAGGTATTCCAGAGCAACTCTTATTTATCATCTTCACATCTGGCCACGCTTGAAGTGTGCCTTTATATGATGTATAACCGTTTCGAAAAACTTCTTTAACTTGGTTAACATATTCACAGGATGCTTTAATAGGAATTTTTGATTTATTATATCAGGCTTCATACAATAGTATCTATTATTATTCACAAGCATGGTATATATGATACAAATTATATATTTCTTCAATAAATCTTCTTCTTCTTTCTTTTCATTTTACTTTTTTTTACTTAGAACTTTTAATTATTATAAATTTTAAAAGAACTTAAAAAGCCTTTTCTCATCATGTGTATTATTTGGTTGAGGTAAATCTTAAATCAAACTGGGAGTCCTGCTTGGAGTCTCTTTAACTTCTCCATCTTCGCCATATTTTGACAGCTGCAGTTGATTTTTAAAGATTTATGTGACAGTGCGTGAGAGTTACACACATACATCGTTCTGCCTGCTTGTCTGTTTGGCTGTCTGCCTCCCCTGCTGCGGGCAATCCCCCTCACAGCAATTAATTAAATTTAATGTCCGTTTGGCCTCTAGCATTGATTTATTGGCTGCGCCTCTGTTCGACAGGCATCTCCGCTTTCAGCTGACAGCCACGGCGACAACTTCAAGTGGGAGCTCGCAGAATTAATGAACTGACAGCGTAGTTTGCTTCTTCATATGCTTTGACTTACTCTTGCTCTCCTTATTTGCTCCACAGCCATACCTGGTTTGGGCAAGAGCGGCAGTGATTTCAACACAAGCCGTCCAAACAGTCCGCCCACCAGCAATCACACCATCCAGAGCCTGAAGAGCAACAACAACAGGTAAGTCGCTGATCCTGCACAAGTGATCCAAATGAACTGTGGCTAATCTCTGCCGTTTGCTGCATCTTGATTCTTTGGCAGCCTGCGTCCGCCCAGTGTTAAGAGCGGCATACCCTCGCCGAGCAGCTTGAACGCGCCTACGGCTCCTCAGAAGCACTCAATGCTGGATAAGCTGAAGCTCTTCAACAAAGAGAAGCAACAGAATGCAGCAAATGCAGCCGCCGCCGCAGTTGCATCCAATAAGACGCAAATTCAATCGAAACGCACCTCCTCCTCTTCGGGCTTCAGTTCGGCACGCTCCGAGCGCTCCGACTCCAGCCTGAGCCTCAACGATGGCCACAACTCGCAGCTGAAGCCGCCTAGCATCAGCGTCAGCGCCCAGAAGAGCCAACAGAAGCACAACACCAAGCAATCGAAGCTGCTGGCCGCACAGCAGAAAAAGGATCAATGCAAACCCAGCAAGCTCGACAAGAAGGAAAAGAGTCCCGCACGTTCGCTGCACAAGGAGGAGTCCACGCTCTCGGGCAATGAATCGCGCAGCTCGACGATGGGACGCGCGGGTAAAAATTCATTAGCGCGCGGATCTGCTGAGAAAAATACACTAAAGACGTCTTCCAAGACTTCGCTGCACTCGAAATCCGACGCCAAGTGCTCGCCAAAGAGTCAGAACCAGAGTCAACAGCAGCAACAGCTGCAGAGTCCCAATCTGCCGAAACCCATTGCGGCTATCAAAGGCACCAGCAAACTGCCCCAGCTGGGCGTGTCACCTGGCTCCAGTGAGCTATTCAAACGTGAAACAAGCGACATATCCAACAACATATCCCATGAGCAACAGCAGCAACAACAGCAACAACAACAGCAACAGCAACAGCAGCAAATACAGCTGCAGCACCAGCAACATCAGCAACACCAGCAACATCAGCAGCATCAGCAGCTGCCTTCGTCTCTTAGCTCAGCTCAACATATCCTCAAGGCTTTGCCTTCGAGCCCACCGCCCCCGTACTATGCCAATGCCCCGACATCCTCCAATCACATATCAACTATTTACTCCGGCAACGGCTCCGGCTACTTGAGCGAACCGACCACCCCACAGCCCGGCATCTACGGCAGCAACAGCCGTTTGCCTCCACCCAAGTCAGCTCTGAACACTCCTCGTAAGCTGGAATACAATGCAGGTCCGCATATTCTGGCTACGCAGCGTTCGCCCATGCAGCGACCCATGCACAACTCAGCGCCGAACACGCCCACCGCCTCGCCTAGTAAGTTTCATACGATTCCCTCGAAGATCGTTGGCACCATTTATGAGTCCAAAGAGGAGCAGTTGTCCTCCTCGGCTGCAGCCTCCTCCTCGGCTGGCGGCGCCTCCTCCTCGTCCTCAGTGCTGCCCATGCGTCCACTGCTGCGTGGCTACAATTCGCATGTAACGCTGCCAACGCGTGGCGCACGTGGCGGACAGACGCATCATCCCCATCAGTCCTACTTGGACTTCTGCGAGTCGGACATCGGGCAGGGCTACTGCAGCGACGGCGATGCGCTGCGCGTGGGCAGCTCTGGCTCGGCCAGTCGCTATCATGACATCGACAATGGCTACCTCTCCGAGGGCAGCAGCGGCTTGGGCGGCACAGGATCTTCGAGCGGCGTCTCCCATGGCAAGCACTTTCTCAGCATGATGAGAGCTCGAACCCAACTGCCCACAACCATTGAAGAGCGGTAAGTGTTAAATAAATAATATAAATATTAATAAATATAAAATATAATTTATGTGCCTTCGGGGCACTGCCTCATCAGTGCTCAGTGGAATTTAGCTGTCCATAAAATACTCAATACTTTAGTAAAAGATATGTATTTAGTCTTATTGTAGACTGAGGCAGTTGATCGTTGTAACGTCTCTAAAAATTAATTTATATAATATGAGAAAACACATTCTATTATATATACGTATACATATATCCATAGCTAAAAAGGATGTCCTCTACAATGTGTTCACTTATATATGTATATTTTTGTGTAAAACCACAATCTCTTCAATGAAGTATGCTGATCTAATTCAAAACATAATAAATAATAATAAATAGTAATGATCGTGATATAGCCAAAAAGACGAACATTACATTGAGCAATTGAACTTCAATACAAGATATAAATAGAGCTTCAAACTCTAAACCCAACTAGACCTTTAGACCTTAGGACACATGTGTACCTCCGAGATATGGTAAAATAAACTAGACCTTTGGACCTTAGTACACATGTTTAACACTCATAAGAATCGCTACAAACACTAATTTTTTGTGCAATGGAAAAATATTTTTTTTTTACTAAAATACGTAAATTGTGTTAAACATTATTTATCGATTTCAAATGCAATCAAGGAACTAAGGAAATCAGCCTTTTATTTCGTTTTATTTCTGATATTGTATTTTATGCATTATATTATACATTATATGCGACTTAGTAAGGGAATCTAGGGGAATCTAGGAGAAATCCAGTGACAGCTTTATGTCTTTGCCTCGAAAAATCGCTGATTGATTTAACAAATTTGCAAGATTGTCATAACAATCTTATGTTATATTTACCCAAATCTTGACACTTTGAAGTCAGTTTACTGTTCTTATACAATATTAATTGACTACAGTTTGTATAAACATGCGCTCGCTTTCATTGCCAAGTATTTTGCTAATCCGTGAGTCATTTCTGCGTGGCTCGTCCAACAGCTGACACCAATGAGTCAACGAGCCAATTGCCAGAAGAGAAGCGTTTCGTATCGTTTCATTTGGCTTGGCTTGGATATCGCATTTGGGTTCCAAGAAGTTTGTCGCCTGTTGTGAGGTGTCCATAAAACGACACTTAATGTTCCGGCTATGGCATTCCCTTTGACTTGAGCTTTAGGCCTGACTGCATCTCCGCTTGCCACGCACAATTTGGCCACACTTTTGGTGTCAGCGACGCGAGAAAGAGATAGCTAGAGAGACAGAGAGAGAGGGAGAGCACTCATCATTTGAAGCAGTTAATTGTCATGGCAGCCACTTGAGCACCCTAACAACTTCCGCCTGGCAGTCAGGCGGAGCTCTTGAGAATCAAATACACCAACGCTCGCATTGCCAATTTGCATAAAATCCACTCGATGCTGACTACAGCAGGCTCAGCTTCAGGTTATGAGCTTCCTTCTATACTCCACAGGCGGCTTGTCAAATGTCATTTGCAAATTGTCAACAGCAGCCAAACAGACGACAACGACGACGACGACAGCTTGGCAATTGACAATTGACAATGCTCACCTGTCAAAGTACCTGCCCAGTCCTCTCTTCCTCTATCCATATGAATTGTGTTCTAGGGATATTGAGATACATTCACGCAGTGTTGCATAGCGACGGGTCGAGCCAAAGCACTTGCCATTTGGCACTTCAGTTAACAAAGGTATCTATGGAAATGGAATTGCTGTTAACAAGCGAATTTGACGTGCGCACAGGAGCGGCTAAAACTGTGACCCACACAGATTTCCATTTTGGGATGTAGAGTGTCATGTTTGAGTATATATATTCGATTTATGAGTTTTTGAAGCGCAAGAACTGTGCATTTATAGCTTTAAATATTGATTTGGGTGCCGCCCATAAAAAGTAACGCAGTTAAAAGCAATTAAAAACCTTAAAAAGTAGCTAACTGGTATTTTATTACATGAACTTCTTGTGCAGTTGCATTTTTTATGTCCATGGGCTGAACGGGGTTAAAAATAATTTATAAATTATGGAGAAGCATAGTTTGGACATTCTATTAACATTAACATTTAAGTTTTAAAGGTTTAAGGTTACAAATTATTTAAGTTGCATAGAAGTTATTTATTAGATATTGAATATGAATATTATATTCATAGTTAAAGATGCATAAAGTGCATAAAGTATAGATAGTAAAATAGACATTTTAATAAAATATCAGTTTTTATAAAATATTGAGGCTTGGAATTATCTGTTTAAATTGCTGCCTTAATGTGTTGCCAATATATGTGAGCTCTAAATACTATAGTTACTATAATTAGTTGCATATATTTTTTTGAAATGTCTATAAAGTGAGTGTCATGATTCGTGATTTGAATTGTCTCACTATTCACTAAGAAGCAGCATAAAGACCAAAACAATTCGAATTAAACTGTTTAGTCAATACTTTAATACACATTTTATTTATTACTTAAATTACAGTTTGATTATGTTCAAGTGTCTAAAATGACATAGATTTCATCTCTATGCACTTTTTATAAATACATCAGCTTTGACTATTCCTTGTAGTTTTTCAAACATGTTTTCTTAAAACTCAAACTAGAAATCATGAAATTTGTGCTATTCCTTGAGGAACACTGTATGCAGTCCATTCTAATCGAATTCGACTTTATTATTGTGAAGCGTCCAAATGGAGGCACATTTAATATCTATAATTAGGTTTCGCTCTTGCCGCTCTATTTGCAGCCATTTGTTTGGCGCAAATAGACAAGAACTGTTTTTGGCAGCTGCCAGAATGAAGTGTGTTATATCATAATTTTGTGTATTTTATTAAACACTTGTCGAGGGAAAACTCCCGCCCACATTTCACCACGCATTTCATTAAAAAGCGCTTATGGGCTTTAGAGAGTGGGTGGCTGTTGTAAGGGGACGCAGGGAGTCCACATTTTCATTAGCTTCGGTCCATCAACGCTTTTGATCTGTGAAATTAATGCAATGCCATGAAGCGCTGAAATGGGAGCTCCCCATGCGAGTGCTCTATAAATAGACAGCAGCAACAGCCGCAGCAGCAGCAGCAGCAGCAGATGTTGTCGTCGTATAGTGGGCACTGTGGATCGAGCCCTGGCCGAAGGAACCTTGATTGTGACTTTTGAGCCGTGGTCACGTAATGCAGCTGCAAAATATGTTTTGTAATTGAATTTTAATGTACGACGTCGACGACCCCTTCGTCGCATTAGCGTCAAGCTGAAGCTAATCAGCTGCGGCGCCGACACCTGCAGGACATCAGCTTGAAGCCCAACAAGTGCCCATGTCCTGGCATCCCTCATCCACTCTCTCCCTCTCTCTCTCTTTCTCTCTCTCTGCACTCCACTCGCCCGCCTCTCGTTAAGCTGTGTCTGCTGTAGGGTCTGAACTGCCAGTTGTCTAGCCATAAAAGTAAATCAAAATGCAGCAGGGCGCATATTTCAACAAGCTGGCAAACCAGGCAAACAGTTAGCCACAGTGCTGTCAACAAAACGGCTAGTTTTAGAGAGAAAATAGCTAAATAACAGTGTTCTACTTATTTTCCAATTACAACAGTGAATCAAATTCAATTTTATCAGTATGCATCAGCATACAAATACGAACCTATCGGCTCGATAAAATATATCCAAATATTTGAAATTACGAACAAGCTACTTTTCTAAGCACAAAGCCATAAGCCACATTTTGAACGGTCAGAGTACTAGTCGTAGGAACTTCATGAACGGCATTTCTCTAGCAATGCAATGCCCTTCATATATCTAATTGAAAAGGCTTCAGACCCAGACAACTAGCTGACAAGTCATTAAATAATCAAATGCAGCTTTAACACTTTGGGGTAAAATCTAGTTCAAGAGGAGCAAACTTCAATGTTGGGCATATTCAGCTTTAAAGTGGTCTTTAGCCTCCACTTAAACTTGCAATTAGCAACTATTTGCCTAACTTATTTTTTTGTATATTGAAAGGTACGTTATATTTGATAAATGAGCATTGCTTAGCCGGAATCATGAATGATAAGTCGTGACTAGCTTCTTTCACTCAGAAATAAAAACTCAAAGTCCTTTCAACCGCAAGAAACTCAATATTTTGTGACTATTTTATTTCCTAAATTAGAGCATTTTTTAGCCCTCTAAAAAGGTTTGATTCAACACAACACAAGCTCAGTCGGCAGCTCTGATTGGCAATGAGGCGGATCCTTGTTGTTTCTGCTGCAATTTTAAAGGGGCTTTCTCCAACTGGACGTGTGCACACATGGCTGGCTGGCCAGCTGGCTCTCTACCTCTCTCTCCCTCTGTTTCGCTGTCTCTTTCCATGTCTGCTGCATTCTTGGTCCTTTCGCTCCTTTTTATTTAATAACGCATTTTTCAATTCATTTGATTTATGGCCTTGGCGTGAGACGCTGCCATTTCCAATTCCAGTTTCCATTGCCTTCGTAAATGCAGCATATTTTTCTCTTCTCTATTTTTTTTTTGGTTTTTTTAAAGCTCATTTTAAACTAGTTGGATTATCTGCCACGCCCAGCGTTTGCTAGTGCGGCTTTTTGTCATTGCGTAAATTTTACTGACCGCAATGCGCCGGCAAATTGAAAATAAATTTCGCACCCAACCGACCCGACATAACAAATACAAATTGTTTTTATTAATTTTATCAAATTCACTGAACCCGTAGACCCAAAATAATGTGCGGTTCACTCTACCACCTGCCGACGCGGCGCTTCAGTTTACCTATTTAAAGGTGACCGTCCATTCGAGTGCTCAATTACGTGACGCCCTACGGCAGTTCTCTACTGAGCTTTTACACATTTTCCCATTATGTTGATACCCTTCTGAAGGGTGGTTGAAGTCTTGTCATGAAATTGTCCCGAGGATCAATAAGTAATCAGTTATGTTTACGAAATCAGCATCTGTGGTAAAGAAACCTCTACTGACAGGGGAAGCATTATATCATATATCGCACAAGACGATTATATCAAGTAGTTAA